ATTCTTTATCATTTATAATACCTTGATATGTTTTAAAATACAATTTTAAGCATTTTTGGTTTTGATCATAGTAGGCTATTTTCAAAAAAAATCATTTTTAATACTTAGATATGTTTTAAAATGTAAATTAAAGCATTTTTGGTTTTGATCAAAGTAGGCTATTTTCAAAAAAATATTGATTTTATATCTAAATTAGCATTTGTTATCATTTTTAATACCTAGATATGTTTTAAAATACAATTTAAAGCATTTTTGGTTTTGATTATAGTAGGCTATTTTCAAAAAAATATCGATTTTATATCTAAATTAGCATTCTTTATCATTTATAATACCTTGATATGTTTTAAAATGTAAATTAAAGCATTTTTGGTTTTGATCAAAGTAGGCTATTTTCAAAAAAATATTGATTTTATATCTAAATTAGCATTTGTTATCATTTTTAATACCTAGATATGTTTTAAAATGAAATTTAAAGCATTTTTGGTTTTGATCATAGTAGGCTATTTTCAAAAAAATATCGATTTTATATTTAAATTAGCATTTGTTATCATTTTTAATACCTAGATATGTTTTAAAATACAATTTAAAGCAATTTTGGTTTCGATCATAGTAGGCTATTTTCAAAAAAATATCGATTTTATATCTAAATTAGCATTCTTTATCATTTAAAATACCTAGATATGTTTTAAAATGAAATTTAAAGCATTTTTGGTTTTGATCATAGTAGGCTATTTTCAAAAAAATATCAATTTTATATCTAAATAAGCATTCTTTATCATTTATAATACCTAGATATGTTTTAAAATGCAATTTAAAGCATTTTTGGTTTTGTTCATAGTAGGCTTTTTTCAAAAAAATATCAATTTTATATCTAAATAAGCATTCTTTATCATTTATAATACCTAGATATGTTTTAAAATGCAATTTAAAGCATTTTTGGTTTTGATCATAGTAGGCTATTTTCAAAAAAATATCAATTTTATATCTAAATAAGCATTCTTTATCATTTATAATACCTAGATATGTTTTAAAATGCAATTTAAAGCATTTTTGGTTTTGATTAAAGTAGGCTATTTTCAAAAAAAATATCGATTTTATATCTATATAAACATTCTTTATCATTTATAATGCCTAGGTATGTTGTAAAATTCAATTTAAAGCATTTTTGGTTTTGATTATAGTAGGCCATTTTCAAAAAAATGTATCGATTTTATATCTGAATTAGCATTCTTTATCATTTATAATACCTTGATATGTTTTAAAATTCAATTTAAAGCATTTTTGGTTTTGATTATAGTAGGCTATTTTCAAAAAAATATCGATTTTATATTTAAATTAGCATTTGTTATCATTTATAATACCTAGGTATGTTTTAAAATGCAATTTAAAGCATTTTTGGTTTTGATCATAGTAGGTTTTTTTCAACAAAATATCGATTTTATATCTAAGTTAGCATTCTTTATCATTTATAATACCTAGGTATGTTTTAAAATTCAATTTAAAGCATTTTTGGTTTTGATCATAGCAGGCTATTTTCAAAAAAATATCAATTTTATATCTATATTAGCATTCTTTATCATATATAATACCCAGATATGTTTTAAAATGCAATTTAAAGCATTATTGGTTTTGATCATAGTAGGCTATTTTCAAAAAAATATCGATTTTATATCTATATAAACATTCTTTATCATTTATAATGCCTAGGTATGTTTTAAAATTCAATTTAAAGCATTTTTGGTTTTGATTATAGTAGGCTATTTTCAAAAAAATATCGATTTTATATCTATATAAACATTCTTTATCATTTATAATGCCTAGGTATGTTGTAAAATTCAATTTAAAGCATTTTTGGTTTTGATTATAGTAGGCTATTTTCAAAAAAATGTATCGATTTTATATCCATATAAACATTCTTTATCATTTATAATGCCTAGGTATGTTTTAAAATTCAATTTAAACACATAAATTAGCATTCTTTATCATTTATAATACCTTGATATGTTTTAAAATACAATTTTAAGCATTTTTGGTTTTGATCATAGTAGGCTATTTTCAAAAAAAATCATTTTTAATACTTAGATATGTTTTAAAATGTAAATTAAAGCATTTTTGGTTTTGATCAAAGTAGGCTATTTTCAAAAAAATATTGATTTTATATCTAAATTAGCATTTGTTATCATTTTTAATACCTAGATATGTTTTAAAATACAATTTAAAGCATTTTTGGTTTTGATTATAGTAGGCTATTTTCAAAAAAATATCGATTTTATATCTAAATTAGCATTCTTTATCATTTATAATACCTTGATATGTTTTAAAATACAATTTAAAGCATTTTTGGTTTTGATCATAGTAGGCTATTTTCAAAAAAAATCATTTATAATACTTAGATATGTTTTAAAATGTAAATTAAAGCATTTTTGGTTTTGATCAAAGTAGGCTATTTTCAAAAAAATATTGATTTTATATCTAAATTAGCATTTGTTATCATTTTTAATACCTAGATATGTTTTAAAATACAATTTAAAGCATTTTTGGTTTTGATCATAGTAGGCTATTTTCAAAAAAATATCGATTTTATATCTAAATTAGCATTCTTTATCATTTATAATACCTTGATATGTTTTAAAATGTAAATTAAAGCATTTTTGGTTTTGATCAAAGTAGGCTATTTTCAAAAAAATATTGATTTTATATCTAAATTAGCATTTGTTATCATTTTTAATACCTAGATATGTTTTAAAATGAAATTTAAAGCATTTTTGGTTTTGATCATAGTAGGCTATTTTCAAAAAAATATCGATTTTATATTTAAATTAGCATTTGTTATCATTTTTAATACCTAGATATGTTTTAAAATACAATTTAAAGCAATTTTGGTTTCGATCATAGTAGGCTATTTTCAAAAAAATATCGATTTTATATCTAAATTAGCATTCTTTATCATTTAAAATACCTAGATATGTTTTAAAATGAAATTTAAAGCATTTTTGGTTTTGATCATAGTAGGCTATTTTCAAAAAAATATCAATTTTATATCTAAATAAGCATTCTTTATCATTTATAATACCTAGATATGTTTTAAAATGCAATTTAAAGCATTTTTGGTTTTGTTCATAGTAGGCTTTTTTCAAAAAAATATCAATTTTATATCTAAATAAGCATTCTTTATCATTTATAATACCTAGATATGTTTTAAAATGCAATTTAAAGCATTTTTGGTTTTGATCATAGTAGGCTATTTTCAAAAAAATATCAATTTTATATCTAAATAAGCATTCTTTATCATTTATAATACCTAGATATGTTTTAAAATGCAATTTAAAGCATTTTTGGTTTTGATTAAAGTAGGCTATTTTCAAAAAAAATATCGATTTTATATCTATATAAACATTCTTTATCATTTATAATGCCTAGGTATGTTGTAAAATTCAATTTAAAGCATTTTTGGTTTTGATTATAGTAGGCCATTTTCAAAAAAATGTATCGATTTTATATCTGAATTAGCATTCTTTATCATTTATAATACCTTGATATGTTTTAAAATTCAATTTAAAGCATTTTTGGTTTTGATTATAGTAGGCTATTTTCAAAAAAATATCGATTTTATATTTAAATTAGCATTTGTTATCATTTATAATACCTAGGTATGTTTTAAAATGCAATTTAAAGCATTTTTGGTTTTGATCATAGTAGGTTTTTAGCGCATTTTTGAAACTTGTTTCAAAAAGGTAGCTTAATAACGCACTTTGTTCGGCTGGTCGGCTGGCTGGTCGGCTGGCTGGTCGGCTGCTAAGAAAAACTTTTAATCTAGACATCGTAGAGAGTTCTAGTTTTTTGCATTAGTTCCGTTATATCGAGTTATTGGCCCGCCGGACATTTAAAAATCTTAAAACAGTGTATTTATGCTATAATTAATGAATTTTTGTTTTGTTTTCAGTGTAACCTGCTCAAATTTTATTTTACCTCTATAATTTCAATATTACCTCTATAATTTCAAAAAATTTCTAGCCGTTGTAAAATTTGAATTTCAAAAAACCGTTAAATGATAAACTTTTTTTGTATGGAAATTCATTGGAACAAATTATTTAATTATACTATAATTAATTTTTTCGTAGTGCAACTTATAGCGGGAAAATTTCAAACTATTTATTGACCGTTAGAAAATTTGAATTACAAAAAAATGTTAAATGATAAACCCTTTCTGTATGAAAATTCATTGCAACAAATTATTTAATTATACTATAATTAATTTTTTCGTAGTGCAACTTATAGCGGGAAAATTTCAAATTATTATTATATTGACCGTTAGAAAATTTGAATTACAAGAAACCGTTAAATGATAAACTCTTTCTGTATGGAAATTCATTGCAACAAATTATCTAATTATACTATAATTAATGTTTTTTTAGTGCAACTTTTAACGGCAAAATTTCAAATTATTTATTGACCGTTAAATTTTTCTAGCCGTTGTAAAATTTGAATTTCAAAAAACCGTTAAATGATAAACTTTTTTTGTATGGAAATTCATTGGAACAAATTATTTAATTATACTATAATTAATTTTTTCGTAGTGCAACTTATAGCGGGAAAATTTCAAACTATTTATTGACCGTTAGAAAATTTGAATTACAAAAAAATGTTAAATGATAAACCCTTTCTGTATGAAAATTCATTGCAACAAATTATTTAATTATACTATAATTAATTTTTTCGTAGTGCAACTTATAGCGGGAAAATTTCAAATTATTATTATATTGACCGTTAGAAAATTTGAATTACAAGAAACCGTTAAATGATAAACTCTTTCTGTATGGAAATTCATTGCAACAAATTATCTAATTATCAGAGACTAAAATGTATGAAAAAAATCTTTGATGAAAAAAAATCACTCATTTCAATGAGCAAAAAAAACATGATTTTTTTCATCCTACGTAAATTATTACGTAGAAAAAAATCACGTAGGAAAAATATTTACGTAGGATTTCATAACGTGACGGAAATTATTTAAAAATTATTTTGTCAATGTGACTTTTGTTTACAAAAATATTTTAGCTAAAAATGAAGTGTTTATTGCTGTTAATAGCTTATTAAGTTTTTATAACAATTATACATGGATATTAAAGGAAGTATTGACATAATTTGCGTGAAAACATTGATCGATAAATTGCATTTTTTTAAGGAACTTAATTTTTGATGAAAATAAAGGTAAGAATCAGGAATCGAATGGCCTTTATATTTCAATCATGTTAAAATCAATTTTAGAAAGTAAATGGCAGTTCAAGTGACAGATCAAAATATCATTTATCATTGAAGAAGATAAATTAAAGCGCAAGTGACTTAAAAGAATTCTTAAAGCGCTGAAACAACGTTCAACAGAGGATTGGTTACTTGGAGTTGCTGCTATTGCATAACAGGCTTCCAACATTACAGGATCATTTGAATATTTGGCTTCAAGATATGAAAATATGTTGAAATTTTCGTTTGAAACTAAAATTCTGGATTGGAATCGACATTTTTGGATTTTGTCTAATAATTTCTTATCGTCATTTTCAGGGACCCTTTGCTGGATGCTTTCAAAATCCTCATCAAGAAATAAGTCAAATTCAGTCAACGCACAGCCAACATCATTAGGAACATTCAACGGATCAACTGATTTTAAACGTGCCACTTGTTTACAGACTTTTAAGATGTATGCCTACGATTGAACAAAATTTCTCTCATCAGCTTATAGCTTATGATTTATTAGCCTAAACGTACCTCAGCACGACAGTTTTGAGTGTCACTAAAAAACTGTCTTCCATTGAAGTTAAATCTTGGATCAATATAGAGACTAGCCAGCAGAATATCATTATTTTCAAACAATTTGATCGATCGTTGACGCATATGATCAAAAACAATCTTTGAAAATTCATTTTGCTCTAAATTGTCCTTCATATCAAACATAGTCTTCTTCCAACTTGCGTAGAAATCACCTAACATTAAAATTTTAATGGATTATTTATAAAATTCAATTAATTTATGTTTATACCCATTCCGACGTCTGAGCTCTGAAGTTTCATAGTCAAATTATAGCATGGAAGGAAAGCATCGTAAAATTTCTGCATGAAAGTCCAATGTCGAGTTTCCAATTTGATCTTTTCTAATGCATCTCCTGAAAAATACTCAAACAAACTGTTTAGGTCCTCTTGTATGTTTATCAGCTTTCTAATCATGATAAATGAGGAGTTCCAACGAGTGATGACATCGATGCCTGGAACTTTAATCTTTAAACTTTTGATTTGCTCACAATACGTGCTGGACTTTAAATTTTTAACTACTTTTCTTATCTCATCAAGTTCATTCCTATAATCTTTCTTGATATCATTTAGCGAATCGTGAACACACAATTGAAGAGTATGAATAGAGCAGCGAACTAAAACAGCAACAGATGTGATATCCTTAAGAGCATCTTTAATGTTACTGGGAATATCTAAAGGACCGTTCTCGTCAAAATTTTCAGCATCATCTTCATCGTCAATTTCTTCGTCATTTAATTGCTGTCCAAGTTCTTCCAATTCGTCACAAAGCAATAAACTATTTTGGTAGTTTTGAAACAATTTAGCTGTGGCAACAATGTTAGCGCCATTGTCACATGTAAAACTTGCTACTGATCTTTTATCAATGCCGTACTCTCCAAGTAAGCTGCTTATAATAAGATTAATATTCTCAGCCGTGTGTCGTCGATGCATTTCAATCATTCCTATTGTACGAACCAAAATTTTTCTTTCAATTTCAGAAAAGAATTGAATATTGATGCCCAAAACACTACGACCCAATCTCGTTGCAACATCTACCTTTAATCCAATCATTCGGTCCTTAACTTCCAATTTAATCTTCTGTTTTAAGGCTTTTGCGGTTTCTGTGACATATTTTTGTGCATTACAATAATTCATTGTGATGCCAGTTGTTACTTGATGATTGTAAATTAGATCCTTAAATGCTTTCATTGAGAATATACTATATGGTAGTAAGTTTAGGACAACAAGCTCAACAGAGGATCTTATAAAGTCAGACGCAACTAATTTTTTGAGTTTTTTTTGTGGTGGAGCCTCATCTGCTGTAGAAGTTGATGCAGGACGTTTTTCTCTATATTTGACATTTGTATCATTTGCTTGTTCTTGATGCTTATCAGTTAAGTGACGTTTGAGGTTATGCATACTTTTTCCTGCATATTTTTTTTTGCAATGATGACACAATGTTTTGTTTTCACTTTCAATATATGTGAAATGAATATTAAACACTCTTAAATCCATATTAATCCACAGTTATGTTACTTAAAATTTTTATTAAATATTCTTGAAAAAAATATTCACATTGACAAAATAATTTTTAAATAATTTCCGTCACGTTATGAAATCCTACGTAAATATTTTTCCTACGTGATTTTTTTCTACGTAATAATTTACGTAGGATGAAAAAAATCATGATTTTTTTGCTCATTGAAATGAGTGATTTTTTTTCATCAAAGATTTTTTTCATACATTTTAGTCTCTGCTAATTATACTATAATTAATGTTTTTTTAGTGCAACTTTTAACGGCAAAATTTCAAATTATTTATTGACCGTTAAATAATAATCCTTTCTATATAAGCATTCATTGTAACTTTTTGTTAATTACACTAAAATTAATGATCTTCTAATCTTCTCATGATCTGTAAATGAACGCAAAATAATTACATAATCAAATACTGATCGCTAACACAAAAATGCGCTTAAGTCCCTCGATCAATAACACGAGGACTTCTGTAATTTTTTTCAACAAAATATCGATTTTATATCTAAGTTAGCATTCTTTATCATTTATAATACCTAGGTATGTTTTAAAATTCAATTTAAAGCATTTTTGGTTTTGATCATAGCAGGCTATTTTCAAAAAAATATCAATTTTATATCTATATTAGCATTCTTTATCATATATAATACCCAGATATGTTTTAAAATGCAATTTAAAGCATTTTTGGTTTTGATCATAGTAGGCTATTTTCAAAAAAATATCGATTTTATATCTATATAAACATTCTTTATCATTTATAATGCCTAGGTATGTTTTAAAATTCAATTTAAAGCATTTTTGGTTTTGATTATAGTAGGCTATTTTCAAAAAAATATCGATTTTATATCTATATAAACATTCTTTATCATTTATAATGCCTAGGTATGTTGTAAAATTCAATTTAAAGCATTTTTGGTTTTGATTATAGTAGGCTATTTTCAAAAAAATGTATCGATTTTATATCCATATAAACATTCTTTATCATTTATAATGCCTAGGTATGTTTTAAAATTCAATTTAAACACATAAATTAGCATTCTTTATCATTTATAATACCTTGATATGTTTTAAAATACAATTTTAAGCATTTTTGGTTTTGATCATAGTAGGCTATTTTCAAAAAAAATCATTTTTAATACTTAGATATGTTTTAAAATGTAAATTAAAGCATTTTTGGTTTTGATCAAAGTAGGCTATTTTCAAAAAAATATTGATTTTATATCTAAATTAGCATTTGTTATCATTTTTAATACCTAGATATGTTTTAAAATACAATTTAAAGCATTTTTGGTTTTGATTATAGTAGGCTATTTTCAAAAAAATATCGATTTTATATCTAAATTAGCATTCTTTATCATTTATAATACCTTGATATGTTTTAAAATACAATTTAAAGCATTTTTGGTTTTGATCATAGTAGGCTATTTTCAAAAAAAATCATTTATAATACTTAGATATGTTTTAAAATGTAAATTAAAGCATTTTTGGTTTTGATCAAAGTAGGCTATTTTCAAAAAAATATTGATTTTATATCTAAATTAGCATTTGTTATCATTTTTAATACCTAGATATGTTTTAAAATACAATTTAAAGCATTTTTGGTTTTGATCATAGTAGGCTATTTTCAAAAAAATATCGATTTTATATCTAAATTAGCATTCTTTATCATTTATAATACCTTGATATGTTTTAAAATTCAATTTAAAGCATTTTTGGTTTTGATCATAGTAGGCTATTTTCAAAAAAAATCATTTATAATACTTAGATATGTTTTAAAATGTAAATTAAAGCATTTTTGGTTTTGATCAAAGTAGGCTATTTTCAAAAAAATATTGATTTTATATCTAAATTAGCATTTGTTATCATTTTTAATACCTAGATATGTTTTAAAATACAATTTAAAGCATTTTTGGTTTTGATCATAGTAGGCTATTTTCAAAAAAATATCGATTTTATATCTAAATTAGCATTCTTTATCATTTATAATACCTAGATATGTTTTAAAATGCAATTTAAAGCATTTTTGGTTTTGATTTTAGTAGGCTATTTTCAAAAAAATATCGATTTTATATCTATATAAACATTCTTTATCATTTGTAATGCCTAGGTTTGTTGAAAAATTCAATTTAAAGCATTTTTGGTTTTGATTAAAGTAGGCTATTTTCAAAAAAATGTATCGATTTTATATCTGAATTAGCATTCTTTATCATTTATAATACCTAGGTATGTTTTAAAATGCAATTTAAAGCATTTTTGGTTTTGATCATAGTAGGTTTTTTTCAACAAAATATCGATTTTATATCTAAGTTAGCATTCTTTATCATTTATAATACCTAGGTATGTTTTAAAATTCAATTTTAAGCATTTTTGGTTTTGATCATAGTAGGCTATTTTCAAAAAAATGAATCGATTTTATATCTAAATTAGCATTCTTTATCATTTAAAATACCTAGATATGTTTTAAAATGAAATTTAAAGCATTTTTGGTTTTGATCGTAGTAGGCTATTTTCAAAAAAATATCGATTTTATATCTAAATTAGCATTCTTTATCGTTTAAAATACCTAGATATGTTTTAAAATGAAATTTAAAGCATTTTTGGTTTTGATCATAGTAGGCTATTTTCAAAAAAATGAATCGATTTTATATCTAAATTAGCATTCTTTATCATTTAAAATACCTAGATATGTTTTAAAATGAAATTTAAAGCATTTTTGGTTTTGATCGTAGTAGGCTATTTTCAAAAAAATATCGATTTTATATCTAAATTAGCATTCTTTATCATTTATAATACCTTGATATGTTTTAAAATACAATTTTAAGCATTTTTGGTTTTGATCATAGTAGGCTATTTTCAAAAAAAATCATTTATAATACTTAGATATGTTTTAAAATGTAAATTAAAGCATTTTTGGTTTTGATCATAGTAGGCTATTTTCAAAAAAATATCGATTTTATATCTATATTAGTATTCTTAATCATTTAAAATACCTAGATATGTTTTAAAATGAAATTTAAAGCATTTTTGGTTTCGATTATAGTAGGCTATTTTCAAAAAAATATTGATTTTATATCTAAATTAGCATTCTTTATCATTTAAAATACCTAGATATGTTTTAAAATGAAATTTAAAGCATTTTTGGTTTTGATCATAGTAGGCTATTTTCAAAAAAATATCGATTTTATATCTAAATTAGCATTTGTTATCATTTTTAATACCTAGATATGTTTTAAAATACAATTTAAAGCATTTTTGGTTTCGATCATAGTAGGCTATTTTCAAAAAAATATCAATTTTATATCTAAATAAGCATTCTTTATCATTTATAATACCTAGATATGTTTTAAAATGTAATTTAAAGCATTTTTGGTTTTGATCATAGTAGGCTTTTTTCAAAAAAATATCGATTTTATATCTACATAAACTTTCTTTATCATTTATAATGCCTATATATGTTTTAAAATGAAATTTAAAGCATTTTTGGTTTCCATCTTAGTAGGCTATTTTCAAAAAAATATCGATTTTATATCTAAATAAGCATTCTTTATCATTTAAAATACCTAGATATGTTTTAAAATGAAATTTAAAGCATTTTTGGTTTTGATCATAGTAGGCTATTTTCAAAAAAATATCAATTTTATATCTAAATAAGCATTCTTAATCATTTAAAATACCTAGATATGTTTTAAAATGCAATTTAAAGCATTTTTGGTTTTGATCATAGTAGGCTATTTTCAAAAAAATATCGATTTTATATCTATATTAGTATTTCTTTATCATTTAAAATACCTAGATATGTTTTAAAATGAAATTTAAAGCATTTTTGGTTTTGATCATAGTAGGCTATTTTCAAAAAAATATCGATTTTATATTTAAATTAGCATTTGTTATCATTTTTAATACCTAGATATGTTTTAAAATACAATTTAAAGCATTTTTGGTTTCGATCATAGTAGGCTATTTTCAAAAAAATATCGATTTTATATCTAAATTAGCATTCTTTATCATTTAAAATACCTAGATATGTTTTAAAATGAAATTTAAAGCATTTTTGGTTTTGATCGTAGTAGGCTATTTTCAAAAAAATATCGATTTTATATCTAAATTAGTATTCTTTATCGTTTAAAATACCTAGATATGTTTTAAAATGAAATTTAAAGCATTTTTGGTTTTGATCATAGTAGGCTATTTTCAAAAAAAATCATTTATAATACTTAGATATGTTTTAAAATGTAAATTAAAGCATTTTTGGTTTTGATCATAGTAGGCTATTTTCAAAAAAATATCGATTTTATATCTATATTAGTATTCTTTATCATTTAAAATACCTAGATATGTTTTAAAATGAAATTTAAAGCATTTTTGGTTTCGATCATAGTAGGCTATTTTCAAAAAAATATTGATTTTATATCTAAATTAGCATTCTTTATCATTTAAAATACCTAGATATGTTTTAAAATGAAATTTAAAGCATTTTTGGTTTTGATCATAGTAGGCTATTTTCAAAAAAATATCGATTTTATATCTAAATTAGCATTTGTTATCATTTTTAATACCTAGATATGTTTTAAAATACAATTTAAAGCATTTTTGGTTTCGATCATAGTAGGCTATTTTCAAAAAAATATCAATTTTATATCTAAATAAGCATTCTTTATCATTTAAAATACCTAGATATGTTTTAAAATGAAATTTAAAGCATTTTTGGTTTTGATCATAGTAGGCTATTTTCAAAAAAATATCAATTTTATATCTAAATAAGCATTCTTTATCATTTATAATACCTAGATATGTTTTAAAATGCAATTTAAAGCATTTTTGGTTTTGATCATAGTAGGCTATTTTCAAAAAAATATCGATTTTATATCTATATTAGTATTTCTTTATCATTTAAAATACCTAGATATGTTTTAAAATGAAATTTAAAGCATTTTTGGTTTTGATCATAGTAGGCTATTTTCAAAAAAATATCGATTTTATATTTAAATTAGCATTTGTTATCATTTTTAATACCTAGATATGTTTTAAAATACAATTTAAAGCATTTTTGGTTTCGATCATAGTAGGCTATTTTCAAAAAAATATCGATTTTATATCTAAATTAGCATTCTTTATCATTTAAAATACCTAGATATGTTTTAAAATGAAATTT